GAGAGGAGAAAGAGAAAGGAAAATATATTCAAGGAAATAATGGTCGAAAACTTCCAAAATCTGATGAAAAATATTATTTTGATGAAAAATAATAAGCCACACATCCAAGAAGCTCAACAAACTCTGAATAGGAAACTGGAAAGAAATTCACACCCAGACACATCATACCCAAAATGTTGAATGACAGGCAAAGAGAAAATATCAAAAGCAGTGAGAAAACAATTTATTACATTCAAGGGAAACCAAATAAGAGCAATAGCTGACTTCTCATCAGAAACAGTGGAGGCCAGAAGGCAGTGGGATGACATATTCTAAGGGTTCAATGAAAAAAAAAAACCTGTCAAACAAGAATCTTCTAAAAAAACAAACAAACAAGAATCTTCTATCCAGCAAAACTATCTTTCAAAAATGAAAGCAAACAATGAGCACACTCAAATTTTGGTTTCTAATTCTATTCTCAAATAAAAGGAACCAGGACTCCTTGGAGAAATGGCTAATTCTAGGGCTGGAGCAGGAAATATAGGAGATGAGTCTCAAGCATTTTCTAGTGCCAGAAAAGAAAAAGTGTTCACACACACGTGCACACACACAAATGGGGTATGTCGAAGGGATGTAGAAGCCAACTGAAAGAGCTCCCAATGCCCAAGGTGAAACAATGTGAATAATAAAACAAATAGTATTAGATTACAACCCAACATATAAAATTAATATCCATGCTCACTTCAACAACACATATACTAAAATTAATATCCATGAATTGATACTGATATAAATAAATGATTAAAAAATAAATGGAGAATAGACAAATGTCCCAGACAGAAGAATTCCAAATAGTTTATAAGTCCCCACTTCTTAAGTGTGAGCTGCACATGATAACATCCTTCCAAAGAGTTGAGTCTGAAAATTGGAGGAAAGAGTAACTGTACAGCAGAGAAACCCTTATAATATTACATCAGGCAGGTGATCAAGGTTAACATCAGCAGTGGTAAGTCATGTTGACAGTATGCTCCCTTGATATAATGTGATGAAAATGGCACTTCACCTCTGCAATCTTCCTCCCGAAAACCATTTAACCTCAGTCTAATCACAGGAAAGACAGCAGACAAATCCTAATAGAGGAACATTCTACAAAATACTTGACCACTTCACAAAACTGTCAAGATCATCAACAAGTCAAGCCTGAGACACTGTCGCAGCCAAGAGAAACCTAAGGAGATGTGACACTGAATGTAATGTGTTATCCTGGATGGGATCCTAGCACAGAAAAGGACATCAGGTAAAAACCAAGGCTATATGAATAATATTAATTATAAATGTTAATTATAAGGCTTCAATATTGGTTTGTCAATTTTAATAAATATTCCACTGTAAGATGTTAACAATGGGGGAAAATGGGTGTGAGATTTTTGGGAACACTGCACTCTCCGCAATTTTCTAAAACAATTATAAAATAACCTTTATTTTTTTAAATGAAGAATAAAGACATTCCCAGATAAACACACACTGAGAGAATTCGTTGCAAGCAGACCTGCCTTGCAAGATATACTAAAGGAAGTTCTTCAGGCTGAAAACTAGTCAAAGTAGTTTAACTAGTGAAAGTAGCTTAAGCTAAAGTAACTTAAAACCATGTGAAGAAAACAAATAGCACGTAAAGGTAATTAGGTACATAATTATAAAGAACAGTAAAATTGCATATTCTCCTTCTCTTAGCTGATTTAAAAAGCAATTCATAGTAGGAAGGGAATCGGAGGGGGAGATGAACCATGAGAGACTATGGACTCTAAGAAACAAATTGAGGGTTCTAGAGGGGAGGGGGGTGGGGGGATGGGTCAGCCTGGTGATGGGTATTAAAGAGGGCACATTCTGCATGGAGCACTGGGTGTTATGCACAAACAATGAATCATGGAACACTACATCTAAAACTAATGATGTAATGTATGGTGATTAACATAACAAAATAAAATTTAAAAAATATGAATCATTAAAAAAAGCAATTCATAAAAGCAATATGTATATAATTCTACTATGGACCTGTGACATATAAAAATAAAATATATTTGACAATAACAGCAAAAAGAAGGCAGGGTGAAACAAAGCTATATTTGAGTAAGGAAATTACATCAGATGGTAACTCAAATCCAGAGAGAGAAATGGAGAGAACCACACAATGGTAAGGAGGAAGGCTAATACAACAAACACTATGAACATACTTCATCTCTGAGGCACCTGGGAGGCTCAGGCAGTTGAGCGTCCAACTCTTGATCTCTTGATCTCAGCTCAGGTCTTGATCTCAGGGTCATGAGTTCAAGCCCTGCACTGGGCTCCACACTAAGCATGGAGCCCCTATACTTCATCTCCTTTCTTCTCTCAGCTTTTGGACCCCTTCCTCACGTTCACAAGATTAACTCAAAATGCATCATAAACCTAAATGTAAGATCTATAAAACTTGTAACATAAGACATAGGACTGAATCTTCATGATATTAAGCTAAGTAATGGTTTCCTAGATACAGTACCGAAAGTTCCAGTACAAAAGAAAAAATAGATAAACTGGAGCTCACCAAAATTAAAAACTATAAATAGCATCTTCAAGAAAGTGAGAAGGAAACACACAGAATGGGAGAAAATATTTGCAAATCATATATCCAACAAGGTATTTGAATCCAGAATACATAAAGAATTCTTACAACTCAACTATAAAAAGACAACTCAATTAAAAACTTACTCAGGGGTTAAGGGTTTGAATAGACATTTCTCAAAAAAAAAAAAAACCACACATGGCCAATAAGCAAATGAAGGGCTGCTCAATGTCATTATTCATTTGGGAAATTCAAATCAAAACCACAGTGAGGTATATCACTTCATGCCCAATAGGACAGCCATTAAAAAACAAACAAAAACCCCTGAAAATAACAAGTGTTGGTGAAAATGTGCAGAAATCAGAACCCTCACATGTTGGTGGGAATGTAAAATGTGCAGCCACTTTCCAAAAACTGTTCTGCAGTTTCTCTAAATGTTAACCATAATATCCCCATATATGACCCACAGTCCCACTTTTAGCTGTATGTCCAAGAGAAAAGAAACCATACATTTACACAAAAACTTGTATGTGAAGCTTCACAGCAGCGTTACTCATAAGAGTCAAAAACAACCCATGGGAAACAACCCCCTTGACTGATGAATGGATAAAATGAGGTGTATCCATACAAGTAAATATGATTCAGCCATGAACAGAAGCAAAGTCCCGACACATATTATAGCACAAATCTTGAAAATACTGTTAAAGAAGCCAGTCGTGAAAGACCACATACTGTATGGTCCCTTTTAAATGAAACATCCAGAGCAGGCAAATTCACAGGGACAGAGAGTGGATTAGTGGTCACAGGGCTGGAGGGTGGGAGTGAGATGAGATGGGGAATGGACAAGGATTTCTTGCAGGTACAGGGCTTCTTTCTAAGGTGACAAAAATGTTCTAAAATATTGTACTGATGGTTACACCATTCTGGGAATGTACTATAAACCATTAAAATGTGCACTTTAAATGGGTGAATAATATGGTATGTGAATTATAACCCAACAGAGCTGTTAAAAAAGTTCACAAGAAAACTAAAATATACTAAGCAGTGACTGCCAGGCTTTTAAAAACTGATGTTATGTTTTACTTATAATCTAATAAATGTCCCCCCAAACAAATACCACAGAAATCCTGCATGAGGAGAGCACACAGACTTTTGCTTTAACTTTGTTACTGGCCACTCTGTACCGAGACCGGTTTTTTTGCAGTTGTCGGTTCTCCATCGAGGATAGGACGTGGATGCCATGACAAAACTGAGTCAGATGTAGTCATCCTGTGGCTTTTCGGTTATCGTGGACAGGTTTGGGGCCACGCATACTGCTGGGGATACTTAGGCCCCTTCAAGACAAGGCCACTAATAACTGTACGAATGGCTTGGGAGGCTGACAACTGTCAAAGCATCGCTATCCTGGTCCTAACGGATCACCACAAAGCCTGTGACACCTATTTCAAAGATGTGGAAACTGAGGCCTGTCTCATTAAAAGGCTTGTTGAAAGCTAGAACCTGGCAACACCAAAGCTTATGCTCTTTCCCCCATCTTTCCAAAAAAGTCCTCTGAGTCACATCCTTTGTACATTTAGCTTGCTGAAATTCAGCTGTAGGTACTCAGCAAAATAGTGAGAGTACTAAATCACAATGGAGATGTAGGGAGCTCAGATAATGCCACACATCTGTTCACACAGTGACCGCAGGCCCTGGAGTGGGCTCAGGACAGAAGTCACAGGTCTGTCATCCCAGCATCCACTGTACCGAGTGAAAATTACATATTTAAAGAACTCTCTATCCTTTACAAAGCACTATATTTTGGCATGTGTACTTTTTCTCATACCAATTAGATGATTACATGCATTATAGGCTTTTTTGTGATGTTGTATACACAACACTTTGAGTATGGTACTTTTCAGGTCACTTAAGGAATTCTCGAGGGTTATTTGGACTCTACATGATTTCTAGATGATTTTGTCATTTCTACACAACTTCTAACTCTAGACCCTAACCCAGCAGTAAAATACTACTGGACTAAATACTGCTGGACTAAAATACTACTTTTTTTTTTTTAAAGATTTATTTATTTATTTATTTGAGAGAGAGAGAATGAGAGAGAGCACGAGAGGGAAGAGGGTCAGAGGGAGAAGCAGATCCCCTGCTGAGCAGGGAGCCCGATGCGGGACTCGATCTCGGGACTCCAGGATCATGACCTGAGCTGAAGGCAGTCGCTTAACCCACTGAGCCACCCAGGTGCCCCTGGACTAAAATACTACTAATACTCCAGGTACCATTTCCTCTTTCAATGACCCAGAGTTATTTTGACTTTCATGGTCTAGGCTTTTCTAGACAAAAACCTAGGTCTTGGTGTACATTGGCTCAAGCCCTTGTAGACAGAAGGAGATAAACACCAGAAACAGCATATTTTACCCTCTCCTACCTCCTCTACTTGTAGGGTTTCTCTTTCAATTTTTTCAAGTAATTCATTTCTCAGCAAGATCTCCTTGTCCAGATTGATGGACATTTCCATTGCTTGGTGTAGCTTGCTCTGAAATATAACACAGCAAGTCTTGAGCAAAGATGATCACTCAGAACTACAGGAAGGACGGACAGCTCTTTTTTAAGCAGGATGACAGCAAGACCATCCAGGAACTTGGGTCTGCCCTTCTCAGAATCCTGGTGCCTACATGGTAGGGGAGGTAAAGACCTGCAGAGTGGCCGGACACACCAGGACCCAGATTCTGCCCCATTATTTACTAAAAGAAACTTTGGGCAAGTCCCAGAACCTCTCTAAACTTGGGCTGGTTGCCTCATAGGGCTGTGGAGAGGCTCAAGGGAGATAATGGTGGTAAAGTGTTGAGCAGAGCCTGACACATGGAGAACACTCATACAAATGGCTGCCATTACTGGATGAAGAGAGAGAAACACTCCCCGTGAGCTACCGGCATCCCACTTTACAGATGAAAGAACTGACTCTTTGGAGGGTGAAACAATTGGCCCAGGGTCATAGAGATAAGAGGTTAAGCAGGGTTTGAACCCAGGCAGTCTGACTCCAGGGCCCACAGGCTCCAGCACCGCTGACCCTGGAAGGCTCCGTCACGAACTGCCCCCCAGCTTCCTCTTGCATCACTCGCCACTGCCCTTTGGCTCCCCGCCAGGCCCCTGCTTCTCCGATTCGCCCCTTTGCTGCACCTTTGTCTCCCCAGCAGGGAAGGGTCAGCCTGGAGAAGTTGAGACATGGTTTGCTGGGCTGAAGAGTGAGCCAAGTGACAGAAGCCAGTGACTCCGGGGGGATCACTCCACGGACTCTGAGAACACACTCACCCTGCACCAGGCACTGACCAGCACGGCAGCCTAGGCCCTGCCTGCCAGAGGCCGGCTCACAGCCTAGATGGAGGCGCCAGAAGCCATATAAAGCTGCAACTGTGCCTGGCGCTGAGAATATGAGGACAGTGGTCGAGGTTTCCCTGGGGGAAAGGATACTGGAAAGGGAGCTGAAAGGCTGTTGAGTGTGTCTAAGTAAGAGGGGAAGGGAGAACATGCCAAGCTAAGGAAAAGCCTGAGACAGGGGATGCTGGAGCAATATACCCAGGGTATCAAATCTTAGACCAGGCAGAAAACCCTGGAGCCACCTGCCTGGGGACCTCAGGGCATTGGGGGCCATTCCCCTCATTTCTCTTCTCGCCAATCCTCCCTTCTTTAAGGCTCATGTCCTGCTCCACATCCTGCACGACATCGCTCTGCTTAGGAAAGTGCCGTGAGTAAGAGACCAGACTGAGGGGGTGGGCTGCGGGGGAGGGGAGGCAGCACAGGACTCCACTGCAAACCAGAAATTTGGGTGCGGGGAAAGGAGAGCGGAGGGAAGGCATTAACCCCACAATGCAGAGAGCCAAGGCAGGAAAGAATGGAATTGCAAAGGCTACTGCAAGGCAGTCCCTGGCTCTACTGGGGCTGGGCTCTCCAGAAGGTATGAGGAGAGCTATTTGTGATTCTGAGCAGGACGTTGGCCACTTGAGGTGGCTACTTCTGAAAAGGCACTTTAGCTTTCTCTTGCTGTGTACCAAATTACCACAAATTTTGTGGCGTAAAGCAACACCCATTTATTATCTCAGCTTCTATAGGTCGGAAGTCCAGGCACAGTGTGGCTGGATTCTCTGCCCAGGTAGGGTCCCCTGGGGCTGAAATCAGGATGTTGGCCAGGGCTGGCTCTCCTCTGGAGCTGGGGTCCTCTTCCGAGCTCACAGACTTGGCAGAATGCATTTCCTTGAAGTTGTAAGACTGACGTCTCTGTTTCTTTCTAGCTGTGAGCAGGAGGTGGCCCTCAGCTCTTCGCAGTCCCTCTACCTTCAAGCCAGCAGTGGAGAACTTCTCGCCTAGAGAATTCCCTCCATGCTTCAAATTCCTGACTTCCTCTTCCAGACAAAACTCTCTGCCTTTAAAGGGCTCATGTGATTAGGTCAGGCCCATCCAATAATCTCCTATTCTTAACATCAACGATGGCAGAACAGAATCATACTACATAATCATAGAACAGAACAGAACCTAATAATTGAACCCATCATCCCCACAGCCTTGGAGATTGTACTGGGTATATACACCAGGGGGTGGGGAGTCTTGGGGGACATCCTGGAATTCTACCTACAACAAGGGACTAGTTTACATGGGGATCACTAGTTTACAGTCAGTTAGGAATGACACATCATGGCTGCCATCACACGCTTATATTTTACCAGATTCCACGAGGCAGGGCTTGACAGCATAAAGATGGAGATAAAGGTGCCCCTTTGGCTGAAGCTCACGCACCAAACTCACAGAAGAGACCATGTCTGTCTCCTTCATACCTATATCCTCAGCACTTAGCCCGGTGCCTGGCACTCCACAGGTCCTTGTATGTTTGGTAACATTTATTCTGTATATGCGCTGCTGAAGCAAACACATTGGTAACAGTTATTGTGCATGCTTTCACAAGGTCTTAGAGATGGGTATTTGATATTCATATGAAAGTGGTCCCTCCTGCCACCCTCCCATCCCCTAAACACACACCTCAATTGCTAGCAGCTCACTTGACAATACTGGCTGAGGACTTGCTTGGCCAGGCACTGTGCTCAGTGCTAGGAACACAGCAGAGACCAGCTGGAGCTCTATCCCGGTGGCGAGTCACAAAAACCTGCCTCTGACCCATGGTGCCTAGTGGAATCCCCATTCAAACCCTGGTGAGGCCTGACTCCAAAACTCTGCCTCCATTTCTCCCAGAAGACCTAAGAACTGACACACAGAAGAAATGAGCCTGCTTCTCCCTCCACCCGTCGCTGTGTCCACCGGAGGACTCCTGTAGGCATCTCCTCCCGAGCTCCACCATCTGCTTACTATTATTTGAAACAGGCCTACAGGCACGATGACCCCTGGGATCCTGCCTGGAGAAGCTCCCATTCTACGCACTGTGGCCCGTGTTGCTGCTGCATGGGTATCGCAAACAATCTGTCCTTTGCGTTTAGACCTGTCCTAAAGAGCTCAGGCCCTGGACCTGGCAGTTTCATTTTACAAACCAGTAGCTCCACTCCAAACCCCTGGCTTTTCCACACAAGACCAGACAGGCCCTGTGCTACTTAAGTTGATTCCACAGGATACGATCAAGATCCAATGCCATGTAGCCACATACTACCCAGCTCTCCAGCCAACGAAGGCTCAAGTCACAGGGACCGGCTTCATCTTGAAATTACAGTGATCAGATAAGCTAACTACTGATAGGATGAGATCAAAGTGGAAGATCTGTTGCAGACGGAGAACACATGAATTTCAAAATGCCAGCATGATGTTATCTATGCGCTTTATGCCAGGGACGGGCAGCTGGGTTAGGTGGGACACGCACTGGACTAGGAGCCTCAACCCTGTCAAAAACTTGTTGCTTGAAGTTGGCAGTTACTCTCTTTGGACTTCAGGTTTTTCATTTGTAAAAGGAAAGTGCTGGACAAACGTAATAGTCTAATCTAAACACTTCCAAATTTACGTTTTAAACTGACACTGTGTGGGCCGAATGAAGACCACCTGTGAGTTACCTAAGCCTGTAGCCACCCCTGTCCTGCAGGCACTAGGCCAGGGGTCAGCCACCTTGCTCTGTAAAAGGCCAGATAGCAAATATTTACGTTTTGTGGGCCGAGAGGCAAAACTGAGGATATTATGTAATTACTTATATTAACAAAAGAAAAATATAAATTTCCACACATTTTGTTGATGGAATTCAAAATATAATCATTAAGTACATTTTGGAATACAGGTCTACTAATGAGAAGAATGGAATTTCTGGGGGAGAAACCAATTTTGTTTAATTAGGTTTCAAAGGTAGCATTCTCTATCAAATTGGTTACAAATATCCTTCTGTAAAAACCATTCTTAGTTCACAGGCCAGTGGGCAGGATACACTGGCCCACAGTTAGCTGACTACTGCGTTATACAATTTGCTAGCAGGGTGGCTGGGCATTTATGGCTGTGGTCCCTGCTTAATTATTAATAGTACCTCTCTCTCTCCCAAAAGGGTTCTGTGTGGATGAGGAATCATATATTAGTTTTCTGATTTTTAGCTAAGAGAGTTTTCTTCTGGAGGGTTTTAAGCAGGGAAGTGCTTCTTACAGGCCTAAATTAAACAGGGCCCTAAATGTGGTTAGTTCTCAAAACTCACTGTGCATAAAAAACACTGGGGGCATTAAAAAAAATAGATGCATGGCCCTCACGCCATAATTCAACTGGTCAGGGTTGGACTAGGGTGTTTGTATATTTTCAAAAATGCAATGCACAGCTGGGTTGCAGGAACACTCAGAGTATTTGAGGAGAATGGCTTTGTCAAGAGAAATCAGGGAGCAACAGTAGACGGAAGGACCCCAAGCCCTTGTGTCGCACCTCAGCGGTGCATGGCAACCTCACTGTGGCTGGATAGGTGGGTGTGGGAGGCCTCGGGGACCTGGGCATCAGGGCGGACCTTACTTTGTATGTGTTGAGGACCTGCAGGGTGTTTCCAGATGCCAGCTTTAGCTGGATCAGTTCTTGATTCTTTGCTTCGATGGTCTCTAAAAACTGAGCATTCTCAATCTTCAGCTGCTGAAAATCAACCTCATGGAGAGCCTCGCCCACCTCTTCCTTCTATAGCTCAGAAAGAAGAAAGAAATGATGTGAGGTTGTGACTTCAGAATCTGACTCACACCTTGCAGTTACCGATGAGATTCTGAAAGTCAGTCATCATTCAGTCATTCAACAAACATGGGTGGGGGATCTGCTTGGTGCCAGGCATGGTGCAGGGCACTGGGGTGGAAATCTGAATAAATACAATACCCCCTGGCCTCAAGGAGCACATATTCAACCAGGGTTCACAGACAGGTCGCGGTGTGGTGTAGTGGGAGGGGCAGAGGACACACGGAAGCCCCTCAGCCAGGCCAGAGAAGAAAAGCTTCCCACTTAAAAGGTAGTATCTAAACAGGGCTATGAAAGAAGAATAAGAAGGAGACCATATAAAAGTTATTTTTACCCTGGAAAACCCAGGACCAGCAGCCCATAAATTCCCTTCCTGTGATCACATGACATTTCTGTACTGTGGTTGTATCAGGGTACTGGGTTCCCTCCCCAACCTGGCCTGCCTTACCTGCCCCACCAGGTCTAGGCTATCTTACATTGGTGGTAGGCAACAGCCAAACCCAGGAACTGTTCCTCAGCCCCGTGCTCTACCCACGCAATACTACCTCCAAGGAGGCTTCTTCCCTTTCCCCTAAACCAACACAACAATTTCCTTAAGCCCCAGTAATGACCCATCCTCCAGCTTAAACACTCCTAGGAGGAGAATCCCCCACTGTGGCTCTGTGGTCCCTGCTGCCATTGCCCCTGGCTAGCAGTGACGCATCCCGCCTTTTCCTACCACCCCCACTCCCCGCTAGCCTGTGAGCTCCTGAGGTCAGGACCACCTCAGTGTCAGCTCTGTGCAGCAATGGCTTAGGCTAAAAGTCATCCATCTCCTCCCTCCCTCACACTTAAATCCCCTCCTCAGGATGCCTGAGCTTGCATGAAGCCCGGAGTACCAGGAACTCTCTATCTGGAGGCCGCTCCTCTCTACTTTCTTACACTAATCTCATAACCTCAAATCTCCTTCAATGACATGGCCACCCCGGCCTTCACTCCACTGGGGACCTCCAGAGCTGTGCGTGCTCTCCTCCCCACAGCCCGTGCTCTTGGAGCTAGCAGCCAGCCCTCCTGAGTCTGCTTGGGCCCATCAGCCCCAGGTCCTCTCTGATGGTCTCTCCGTTCCCCTTGCTCTCTGGCTCCCTCTGGGTGAGCCCTAGGTTACCAGTTCTTTCAAGAGTACAGCTCTCACGGAGACGTGATGCTCCAGGTAGGGCTACGCGGAACGAGAGGAGCAAGCCCACCCCTTTCTTGGGCGGGGGGGCCCTGTGGTTCTCTGGGTGCAGCCCAGGCCACAGCATTGCCTCCGGCTGAGCGGACTTTATCAGGTACTCTACGGTTAAGCCAGCTGCTACCTGTGCAGACCTGATCCTGGGGATCAAAATGGAGGAGCTTACATTTGTGCTCAGTCACTTCACGTTGTTGAAGCTGTCCCAGTTTGTCTTTCAGGATCCCAAGTCAATCAGGCAATAGTTCCAGACTCTGTCGTTGTCAGTGGCCGCCTCTAATGCACAAGCTGTCGGTGCCCATGTTCGAGTTAATTCGAGGGAGGGAGCCGTGTAATCACACTTGAGAGGCCCCCTGCCCGGTCTGCTTACTGCGTTTAATTAGGAGCCTTTAGTCGGCTGCACAGGCAACCAAAGCACACTCAAACTGTGCCACCCAGGCCATACTCACCAAAAAAGGTCAACAAGTATGTCACGAGGGTCTTTTAAATTCAAGCCAACTTCGTCTACAGATGTGCCGGCACCAGAACTGTAGGAGCTTCCTATCGCGGCTGTGACAAATTACCACAAACTCCGTGGCTTAACACAAAAATCGATTATCTTACAGCTCATGAGGTCAGAAGTCCAAAATGGTTCATGGGGTTAAACTCAAGGAGTTGGCAGAGCTGCATTTCTCCTGGAGGCCCTGGAGGAGAATCTGCTGCCTTGCCTTTCTCAGCTTCTAGAGGCTGCCTGCTCTCTTTTGTTCATGATCCCTTCCTCTATCTTAAAAGTTCATCACTCTGATCTCTGCTTCCAGTATCCCATCTCTCTCTCCTGTCTACCTCTTACAAGGACCTTTGGGATTATATTGGGCCCATTTAGATAATCCAAAATAATCTTCCTTTGAATCAGGGGGAGATTATTTTAAGATAATCTCAAGATCCTTGACTTAATCACCTCTGCAAAATTCTTTTGCCATGTGAGATAACAGATACACAGACTTCAGGGATTAGGACATGGACATCTTTGGGAATGAGTTGTTCTACCTTCCATGGTAACGAATGAACGAATGTACAAATGAAAGAGGAAGGAAGAAGGAAGGAAGGAAGGAAGGGAGGAAGGAAGGAAGGAAGGAAGGAAGGAAGGAAGGAAGGAAGGAAAGAAGGGCCAGCCACATACCTGCCTCAACTGTAAAAGCATCTTTTTCCTCTGCACTTTGAGAGAAACATTTTTCAAACGTAATTTATCCTTCATATTATCCTAAAAAAGACAAGTAAATTTTAATCCACTTTTCTTTGTCTTCCCTGTTGGTTTGAAAAGTTGGTAGGTCTGGGGCTACAAACTAAACCTTGAGCCCTAACATTCAGTCACTTATTTTTAGGTCTTTTTACATTTACCCAAGCTGGCATTGCTGTAACACTTCACTCATGACAGGGGCTCCTGGGTGGCTCTCAGGGTCCTGGGATTGAGCTCCGCATTGGGCTCCCTGCTGAACAGGGGAGTCTGCTTCTCCCTCTCCCTCTGCCCCTCCCCCCACTTGTGTGTGCTCTCTCTCTCTCTCTCAAATAAATAAATAAAATCTTAAAAACAACAACAACAACACTTCATTCATGACCAAGAAGCAGAGGTAACTAGGTCTGCTCTGTGTAAATTCTCTACTGCTTTTAAATTTGATAATTTGGGTATATAGTTTGGATATAGGGGTCATTCCTGACAAAATGACCTTATGATCCTTTGGTCTTTTATTCTCTTGGTAGTTTACATAATTTTCATCACTTATAACATGTTAAGATTAGTAACCCTACCTATATCAAGGATCCAAAGCTCGACATGCTACAAAATCTCTGAAAGTGAAGGAACATTTTATATCTCATTGTTATAATAATGGAACTTAAAGAGCTTGAGATTTACCTGTACCCTCCATAGAGTCACCTGACTAGATAGACTCACACCACTTTTCTCTAGAAAACATCAGATCTTGAAACAAACAGCAACAATAAAAAAGAAAAAAAATCAGTCTGAGATACTATTAATATTCACCTGGCCTGATTGATTTTAGCCTTGATAAACATGCATTTTAAGACACACACTTCGTGGGTTGCAATAAATCTCCACGTGTGGACGACATTTATGGTAGGCCAAATGGAGTGGGGCTGTGTCACATGGATCATTTTTATGTCTTCATCCTATGAATCTATTCTCCCTTTCTAAGCTCCAGCCTCCTGCCAACTCACCCTCCGGCGGTTCATGTCCTCAATGTACTTCATCACTTTCTGAGTGGCCAAAATACTCCCTTTCTTCTTGTTTATGGTTTTTAGAATATCTTTTTTAAACTCATGCACTGCTTTCTGAACTTCAGCCCATCGAATTTCGGCTTCCTCAATGATAGCCTGGAGGAGTCAGCACAAAGAAAGAACAGTTTCCAAAAATCCTCAGGGACATCTCCCTCTAAGGAAACCTAAGTTCTCAGGCCTCTTTGTGTCCTAATACATAATGTTTCTTCTTAGCCTTAGAAATATATCTCTAAGATACAACTTTGACTATATGAATGTTATTATTAAAAAGCAGGCCTTGGGGCGCCTGGGTGGCTCAGTCTGTTGAGCGTCTACTTTAGGCTCAGGTCATGATCTCCAGGTCCTGGGACCAAGCCTCATGTCATCGGGCTCCCTGCTTAGCAGGGAGTCTGCTTCTCTCTCTCCCTCTGCCCCTCCCCCGTGCTGGGGCACTCTTTCTCTCTCAAACAAATAAAAATTTTTTTTAAAAAGCAGGCCTCAAAAAAAAGGGGGTATCCGTAAGAAGGGGGTGAATAAATAAAAACAGGGCCTCACGCATCTCTACATATATTTCCATATCTGAAATATTACTTATCCACTAAAAATTATAACATTAATATAATGTGATAGGATAGGATAGGATATAAAAAATAATCTGGAAAGATATACACCAAAACATTAGCCACAGTCACATCCGGAGAGACAGATGACCAGGGAGACCAACACTCTTAATATATATATACTTCAGTAATTTGAAAGAAGATGGTATCAATGAATATATGTATTGACATGGAAAGACAGTAAATGCAAAATACAATTTACAAAATAATATAATACTTTTTATAAAAAAATTCATATATACCTAGAAAATAATCTAAACTCTAGGAGATAAACACCTCTAGGTAGATTGTGGATTCTTACAAATGTTCTTTTAGCTTATCTCTACATTCAAATCTTGCTACAACATAGACTGTCTTTAAATAAGAAAACACACACACACGTCATCTGAAAGAATAAAATGAAAAGGCATCTGTAGCTGCACAGCAAATCACCTTAGTCCCAGCTTTGTCCCTGGGCACCAAGAAGCGAAAGCATCTTCCTTCATTGGCCAGTCTCTGCCCTCCCCATGGTCTTCACGTGCCTGAACATCAATCCACCATAACTGCCACTTTCAACAGGTCACTCACTCTCCCGCTCAGCCATCCTCATTGGGGTCCTGCTTTCTAAGGCATCAAAGATAAACTCCCCTGCCTGGCTCTCAAGGTCTCACAGCCCCAATTTCCTCATACAGCCCCCAAATCACACCAGCCCCCTCGATATCTTGGACTTGCCACGTTCATTCCCACCTCTACTTCCTTGCTCATGTCATTCACCTGACCTAGGGTGCCCTTCTCTTCCTAGTCCTCTACTTTATTTCTCATTATTCTTCAAGACCATGCCAAGCCCTATGTATAGCCCCACCTCTTCAAAAAAGTCTTCTTTGGCCACTCTATCCCACATTAACATGTTATAATTCAACAATGCATGTTTGGCAAGAGAAAGAAGGAGGGGGGAGGGCACAAAGAAGGGAGAGAGGGAAGGAAAGTTAGGTTTATGTGGTACAGATGATTCTACCAATAAAGACATGAGTCTACTGATCTATCCCTCTGGAGGCAATGAGTGTGAGTCTGTGTGCCCACATTTAGAAATAGAAAAAATTCTAAATAGAACAGAAATATTTGTTCTTCATACAATAATGCTCTCCAATGCAAGCCAACAACTCCATCCATGGGCAACTGAACTAACAGTGATGTTTCTTCTCTGGAGGAAAACTGACCGTTATTGGTCTCCAACAAGACATGGACCATGGTCATGAGTGCTGCACCCAGAAAGCGATTTAAAGATTTTTCATCCAACTCACTGACTTAAACCCCAGACTCCTTATATTATTAAGGAATTACCATACATTTTTAAGTGAATTCATGCTTATTATGGTTATTTTTTTTTAAAGAATCCATATCTTAGGGGCACCTGGGTGGCTCAGTCAGTTAGACATCTGCCTTTGGCTCAGGTCATGATCCCAGGGACCCAGAATTGAGCCCTGCATCAGGCTCCCTGCTCAGCAGAGAGCCTGCTTCTCTCTCTGCCCCTCACCCAGCTCATGCTCTCTCTCTCTCTCACACTCTCTCTCTCAAATAAATAAAATCTTAAAAAAAAAGAATCCATATCTTAGAGACATATACTGAAATATTTATAGATAAATGATATATTGAGGTGTCACTTCATAATAGCCCAGTGGCCTATCATGAGGGAGAAGTTGGGATATGGAGGAAACAAGGGTGGCCATATGTTCGTGGCTGTTGAGCACACAAGGGTCCATTGTGCTAGCCTCTCTATATGTGTGCATTTTTGAAATTTCCCATTTAAAAAAGTTTAGGGGTGCCTGTGTGGCATAGTCGGTGAAGCACCTGACTCCTGGTTTCAGCTTAGGTGGTGATCTCAGGGTCGCGAGATCGAGCCCCGTGTCAGGCTCCGCGCTCGACGCGGAGTTTCCTTGAGATTCTCTCTCTCCCTCTCCCTCTGCCCCTCCCCCCTGCTCTCCCTCCCTCTCTGTCTTTCAAATAAATAAATAAATGTTTAAAATTTGTTGTCTCCTCAAGCAGGTGGGAAGTTCCTTAAAAGTAGGCCTTAAATTTGTCTTCTCCTACTTATGTTTCTTTCAAAATAATAAAAATTAAATGAACATTCTCTATGAGGTGGAAGTGGGGAGCCCAGGTAGGGTGGGCTACAGAGAAAACAGTATACCTCATGATGCTGCAGGTCTCGTTCAGCATTTGCTCTCATGTGCCTTATTTCATCCTTCATGTCTTCCAGCTCCTTTTGTACAAGCTCACATTTTTGGTCGCAACTGAGGCCTATCACACGGTCCATACCTATGCGGGATTTGGATCTACGCCTACCTCGTAACTGCAACACAAGGAAAACCAAGCCATTGTCAGGTAGGAATTGATGCTCAAGTTGGGCATCAAAATGACTACTGAGACCTGCTAGAAATTACTTTGAGTGACAGCCAGGGAGAACAAACTCAGTGTGAAAGGATTCGGGATATTAGGCCCAAGGTGATGTTTATTTCACAAGTCAGCCTAAGGTCCTGTGCTAAAGAATTCAAAGGCTTATGTTGGATAATGAACTGAAAATAAATAAGGGAAAGTGTCTTGAGGGTGTGGAAGGACTGTGAACCTGCTATAGACTAGCATTCAAGTCAGTGTCAGGGGAAGTCCAGAGCTCAATGCTTCCTAAACTGAACACAGAAGAGAAATTGCTATCTGGGGGCATAGTATTAAGCAAAAAACAAAACAAAACAAAAAAAACACACAACTAAACAGACAAAAATATTTTGATTCCCTACACATTTAAGCCAAAGGTCGCCAGCAGATGGCCCAAGGGAACGTGTGGGCCTAAAGAGGAGATTGGCCCTCAAAAGACAGATCTACATCCAGTTTTAAATTTTCAAAAATTAATTACCCACATTTGAAAATCAGGAGAGTCCACTGAAATAATCTAGATTTCCAGCTTCTCTTGTAAAATCAGCTGCTCTGGCAATACCAGGCCACCTGGTTGGACTTTTAGACGAGTGAGGAACTCTCCCGTGTCCACAGCAGACCCACTTCACTCCTATATGTGGCTAGCTAGGCCCTGCAAACATTTGAGTCCCCCAATTTAAGGGAATTATTTCAAACAAAGATATTCTGGGTGAGTCAATCCACTATTAATTGAAATTGATTCCCTTCACACTCACTTGAAAGAGAACCTTGGGAGGGAAGGAAGAATCAAAAGTAGAACAGGAAGAAAATCACATGCCCCTCCGCCAAAGAAATACACAAAGACCAAAGGCAGATACAAAATACCACTTGCATCTAAAGGGACAAACAAAATAAAAGAATTCTTAGGTCTCCACAGTGTACCTGTGCAAATTCTGCTCCTGATATTTTAATTTCTGATAATCGTGGATGTCGCTGATCTCCGGGCTCCAGTTTATTATAATATTTCTCAAACATCTCTGTCTCAGTTTTGAGAGCAGAGTTTCCATAGCTGCAAGACAGAGGGTACCTAAGTAAGTACTACTAACAAGAGTTTAAATCCCAAATAACTAGTATTTAACACTTAATATGACCTACATATGACCTTCTGCGAGACACTTAACATCTGTAAAATGGGAATAATAACAGCACCTATTATTTAGGGTTGCATTAAGGAATGCAAAGCCTTTACAACAGTGCCTGGCACACAGTAAGTGCTATTTAAGTGTGTGATTTTTAAAAAATGTTTAATGAGCCACAAAGTTGAGAGAACTGGGATTATATTGAAAATTGTTGCTGAGATGAAGCTACAAGTTCCACCTTCCAGTATCCTCTAACCCATTTGTGAAATTCCTTCTGAACTACTACATGCTTGAGATTACTACATAGGCACAATCTTCGGATGTTTCTTTGGTTTGTTTCTCAGCTGTTCTTCCCAGCACCAGAGAGATGAAGTATCCACAAGAAGTGTATTATAAACGGTGGGAAAGCTTTGAACAGATGGTTTTTAAACAACTAGAGATGACAGCTAGAGTTTATCCTGTATGTGCCTGCCAAGATTTTGACCTTTTTAGCTTTTCCATATATATAACATACAGGTTATGCGTGCATGTATACATACATATATGAACAGCTTGGATATTTTCATATATTACTGAGTGAATTCCTGTAGGCTGAATTTTAAGATTAATGGAAAAGGTTCAATGGAAAGGCCGAGAAATCAAAACGCCTTTTCTTTTCTTTTCTTTTTTTTTTTAGCATATCATGCCCCGAGTGTCAGCTGTGGAGTCGTACCTGCGTCTGAATCCCGGCACCACCGCTGACTAGGAAGGTGACTTAACCTCTGTGTCTTGGTTCCTCACCCACTTTCTAGGGCTACTGTGCCATTATAGAAGGTCCTACGTGCAAAATAATTGGCGCATAACAAGTAGTCAAAAAATTGCAGCTATTAGTAATATTACCTCAGTTCTGATCTAAACTATGTATAGACATATAGAAGGTACATCTATTCAGCTGCTAGAACGGGATACGCCGTGAGACCAAGAAGTACAATTGACCTCTGAACCTCCAGAAGCCGGCCGGCCGTACCTGAGCTCTTCCACCAGCCCACACAGCTGGATAACAGGCAGCTCGTTCTCCTCCCCGCCCTGCAACTCGCTGACAGGGGTCTCAGAGTCCTCATCAGTCATGACTCTGCCCAAGTGGCCCTGGGCCACTGCTCAGTGAAGCCAAGAGCGCCGTGTTCCAGCGGCCGAGCGTCACGCGGGCTGCGACCTAGCAGAGCGTTGCCGGAGCGACCGGACGCGTGCGTGAGGGGCGGGGCTTCCAGAGGCTCCGCCCAGCGCTGCTCCACCCACCTCCGTGCTGACTAGAGCGCAGACGCTTCTTAACATGCTAATACTAGCAGCTACTGTTTGCTCCGCACTTACTATGCCCTTGGCACCGTGCTAAGCATAATTTATGCAAACCCTTGCAACAACCTTGTAATATTATCTATTATTCTGCTTATTCTCCAAATAGAGGAAACAGACCCAGAAAGTTAATTGGATTTGTCGGAGTGTCTGCCTTCCCCTACCTCACTGTGAGGCCTCTACTCCATTCACCCTCTGGTGCTTCATACGTTCTAACTGCAGTTTCTCTCAATCCCCACGTCCTGCATTCCTAGAAGGAAAAAAACTGGTTGATTATTAAATGGCATAAATTCAAGAGACATCCCTAAATAGGGATTACATCCTGGGGGAATGTATGAAACAGACAATTCCAGCTCTCACTTCCAGTTAAATGAGGAAAAGAGCCCCTAAACCCACTGTTGCTAGTGGAGCGAGGATAGCAACACTGTCTCGCCTAACACGTTTTCATAATCATCATCTCATTTAATCCTCAAAACGGTCTTATGAAATGGGTATCATTTTACAGATCAGGAACTGAGCAATAGAGTAGCTTAGGCGAGTTGTCCGTGGTCACACAGGAATGGAATCCAGCTCTGACAGAACCCCAAATCCATGCTGTTAACTTCCACACTGATGTGCGTCATGGCAACGATAGGCAAGGCAGCAGTGAAGTTTTCTGTCTGCTCCCACCCGGATGGAAGAGGGCAAAGGGCAGAAGGGGGCAATCTTCTCTGAGGTGGAGGTGGGCACTGGATGTGGTTAGAAAGCAAGCTTTGATAAACTGCTTGGAGTGGAGGTCAGCCACCTTCTCCCACCAAGGGACATGCCTTAGCAACAACATATAGTCACTAAACTCTAAAGAAAGGCTTTTGTTTTTTTGCATGGGGTGCACAAATTGGGGGCCAGAGTGGAATTATTGGAGATGATAGCAGAGAGGCTGAGCCCTGCCATCATCTTCTCTCTACTGGTAGGCCTCCCCAGGAGCAATGCAGACCACATTTAGAAATACTTCATATGCTCATATACCAGGTGATACAAATAGATGCCAGCCCCAAAAGGGCCTGGGGCAAGAAAGGACTCTGCTGCAGGTCCAGGCTATGGTGCAAACAGCCCTGTCAATTGCACTATATGATAGAGCAGGCCCTACAGTGTTGGAGGTATCAGTGGTGGGAAAAGATGCAGTGTGAAGCTTAAAGCAAGATCCAGTGGAGGGACCACAATGCAGGACTTGGGGTTTTGGAAAAAGACCATGATGTCCACAGGAGGAAATTTCACGCCTTTGGAAAAACAGCTCCTGGCCTGTTACTAGACCCTGGTAGAGATGGAATGCTTAAGCATGCATCCAGCCCTGATCATTGTGACCTGGGTTGTGTTGGATCCACCGAGGCATAAAGTTGGACAGGCCCAGCTTCAGTCCATCGTAAAATGGAAAAGTTCTGTCCAGGATCAAGTCCCACTAGGACCAGACAGCATGAGTAAGCTGCATGAGCAGGAAGTCCAAGCCAACTTGTCATCCACCACACTTGCACCAGCTTAGACTCATGACCACATTAAGGGAGGGGAGAGGGTCACGACCAGCTAAAAAGGAGGGAAAAGCCTGAGCTTGGTTTAGAGATGGGCTGGCTTAGAATGTGGGTACAAGTCAAACATGGAGGGTGGCTGCATCACAACCACATTCGTGGGAGGCCCTGAAAGACAGTAAAGCAGGAAAATCTTTTCAAGGGGCAAAGCTGTGAGTGGTTCACCTGGTCATCTATTTTGTATGGAAGGAGAAGTGATCTCAGGTGAGAAGTGGTTACAGGGACTCATCTAATGGGCAACTTTGGCTTAGGGACTCCCCATCTGCCTGGCTGAAATGCTGTTAGATGCTATCATCTGAAAAATTTCCTCTCCAATCCTCCCTCTTTTCTTTCCGTGACCTGTATTATGGTCTGAACACTCTCACTGGCTACTCCAGCTTCATCTCCTTTGTCCATCACAGGCATTTCCCCCATTAAATAAATTTCTTCTTTTGAATTCCATCTTGGCTTAGAGGACCTGAACTAATCCAAATAATAAATTTCCATCATAAAGATATTATTCAAATTGAGCTAACAACATAGTACATGTATGAACTGAAATCTGCAGTTACCAAAAAAATACCTTGCTCTTTGCACTCTGTTTCACTGCATTACTTTTTAAATTGTGGTAAAAAACACATAACATAAAATTTAACAACCATTTCTAAGTGTGCAGTTCAGTAGTGTTTAGTATATTCACATTGTTGTGCAACCAATCGCCAGAGCTTTTTTATGTTGCAAAGCTGAAACTCTGTACCCATTAAACAATAACTCTCCATTCCCCGCCCTCCTCCCAGCCTCTGCCAACCATCATTCTACGTTCTGTCTCTAAGCCCTTTGTGACTGCTTTAAATTCCTCATATAAGCTCAATCAGAAAGTATTTGTATTTTTGAGACTGGCTTTTTCACTTAGCATGATGTTCTCGAGGTTCATTCATATATAGCATGTGTCAATTTCCTTCCTATTAAAGGCTGAATAATATTCCATTGTATGTACATACCACATTTTGCTTCTCTATTCAGATGAATGGACACTTGGGTTGCATTCATAGTGCTTTAAGTTTTAAACACAAATAAACACAAAATTTCAAAACTTATTAAGTAGTACACTGTTCAATATTTAAATGTGTGCAGTGTATTGTATGTCAATTATACCTTAGTAAAGCTGTAAAGCAACCAAGCAAACAAACACACTCTCTTCTCTACCCCAGCCTTATACATCAAAACACCTACTCAGTAGCTGCACTCAGATGTGTAGTGAGCATGTCAAACTTGACATACAGCCACTAAACTCATCATTTTTCTCCTCCCTCCAAATCTGCTTTTCACCCATTCTTCTCCATCTCAATAACTGGCAACTCCATCCTTCCAGGGACTCAGGCCAGAAAACGGGGAGTAATCCCCAATTACCCTTGACTCCCCTCTTTTTCTCACCCTTATATTGGAACTGTGAGCAGATCCCACTGGCTGTGCATTCAGAATAAATCTAGAACTCTGCTCATTACTATGACCACCCTAGTCCAACCTACCATCATCTTTTGCCTGAATTATTGTAGTTGACCCCTCACTGTGCAGTTTGTTACATGTCAGTCATACCCCTTATAAAACCTAGGGTGAGGAGGAGAAAACACTACCTATTTGCCAAATTTTCACCCCTTTTGTACTTCACCTCCTTTGGGTCTTTGCTTAAATTAGTATCTGCAATGAGTCTCTCTTCATCACCGTTGGTAAAATTAAGCCCCCTTCCTACACCCTTCTCCACCCCACCCTTGGTATTCTCTATCCTTTATTTTTCCTGTAATGCTTATCATAAATAAATTACCGTATATGTTATTCTTTTTTAAAAAAGTATTTATTTATTTAGTTTGAGAGAGAGAACGTGCAAACGGGGAGGGGTAAAGGGAGAGAGAGAATCTGAAGCAGACTCCCTCCTGAGCATGGAGCCCGACTCAGGGCTCAATCCCACAACCCTGAGATCATGACCTGAGCTGAAATCAAGAGTCGGAGGACGCTTAACCAACTGACCCACCCAGGTGCCCCTTACCGATTAACTTTTTTAAAGATTTATTTATTTATTTATTTGACAGAGAGAGAGATAGCGAGAGCAGGAACACAAGCAGGGGGAGTGGGAGAGCGAGAAGCAGGCTTCCTGCCGAGCAGGGAGCCCGATGCGGGACTCGATCCCAGGACCCTGGGACCATGACCTGAGTCGAAGGCAGACGCTTAACGACTGAGCCACCCAGGCGCCCCCGATTAACTTTTTAAAAGATTTTATTTTATTTATTTATTTATTTATTTATTTGAGAGAGAGCACGCGTGAGCATGAGCAGGGAGGAGGGAGAGGAAGAGGGAAAGAACCCCAAGTAGACTCCTTGCTGAGTGTGGAGCCCAATGCAGGCTCCATCTCACGATGAGATCATGACCTGAGCCAAAACCAAGAGTCAGACCGCTTCACCAACTGAGCCATGCAAGCGCCCCACTTATTCATTTATCTGTCTTTCCTCCCCAGTCCCACCCTACCCCTAGCAACTAAAATATAAGCTCCACGGGGGCAGGGAATTTTGTTCCTTTTGCACACAACTTTATCCCCAGGACCTAAAACAGCATCTGGCATATAGTAGATGCCTGATATTTGTTAAATAAATGCAAGAATGCGAAGGCAAGACTATGAGGGGTTTAAGAGCTCAGGGTCTGGGATCAAACAGATTCAGGATGGAATCTGGGCATAGTCATTCCATTGTTGTATGAGTGACTCTGGGCAAGTCCCTCATCACCTCCGTCCCAAGGTCTCTTCCTTCAGAGAAAGGTCAATAAATGGGATAAATACCTAGCTCATGGGCAGCCGGGGAGATTGACTAAGGCAGAGGGGAGGTTTAGAAGAGAGGTGACAGAAGATGTCATTCTTGATCTAATTCTGACACTGCATTGCCACTGTCTTTACTCCCACCTGGGAGGGGACAGTAAACCTTGGGGACCAGCAGGGAGGCCATTGAGCTAGCACCAAGTTGAGAATTTCTAGACACTAGGGAGGAAAGCTAAGTCAACTGGGCATGCCTCCCTCTTCTGGGCTTAAATCAGATGTCAAATCCTCCCCTGAGGTGGGCTGGTAAGGAAGGAGAGGTGGAGGCTGCTCCCAAAGACAACCTTCCATGCTCAACCCCTTTTACCTCCTTCCATTTGTAATCCAGAATCCAGCCTTGCCAGATAAATGACAGTAGGTTCCTCTCCCCAGGATGGGTGGGTGTAGCTGGTCTCAGAAAGCATTTGCTTCTTCACAAGAGCACCGCCAAACTCAGCCATCTGACTGCCAGCTTCCCTGGCTCTCCCTGCACACTCACATCC